AATTTCTGTCCACCACCGATCGAGTCGACATTTAGACTTTCTTTTGGACGGTATATCGATGAACTTCGTCGACTGAACTACGTGGGAACGAGATCCTATTACACCATAGGAGCCCTAACAAATTAGCGTTAACAGAAATTGTATCGTGTGTACTTCGAATCGACTCGTCGCACGGGAAGTTACTAGATTCGCGTCTTCTGATTTCGAACCGAACTTCCAACGGGGTCTTAATTAAGGATATATGGTGAAACAGTCTTGTTTTTCAGGTAGTTTGCTAGTCAAATACAACTAGACGACTAACTAGCCAAAGTTTCGAGCCATCAAATTTCAGTATCGAAACTAATACTCGTTGCAAAGGCAAACTTCAAAAATACTAATATTCTTAGAGCACGCCTGACCCACTTTTTCCACGTTTTTGAAATACGCAATTTTTATTTAATACTACCGTAGTTACGAGAATTTAAACGTCGATATTCTTTGAAAAGAGGATTCGTTGAGTAATAATATACGACGTTTTGTACTGGGAATAATTGGATAAAATGGTTCAGCGAACGCGTTTCTGTGTTTTACATTACTTTCTATATAGTTTGCATCCTTTAAAATGAGCTTTATATATTTCTGTCAATCAGTGATTGCAGGACTATTTTGATACGATTTCTATACTAGTCAATACAATCATTTTGACATTACTATTTGTTTAGGAATTATATTTTAATAGTTTCTAGAAATAATTAGATTGAACAGGTTGTTTGAGAATGTAGGTAAAAGATTCACCATGTTGAAAAATATACGAATATTGGATTGTAACAGAAATAAAAACAAATGAAAATTTTTTATATATTGTCAGAGTAGGCTACTGAATTCTTTATGTTATTTGTGGTCAATTAAAAATATTTACGAACACAAAAATAAACAACAACATAATGTGTATAATTCAAGATAATATAAGAATTGAAATCGCTTAAATAGAATAAATAAATAGATTGTCCATGGAAAGGGTGGTTTAAAACTTTCGTGGAAGGAAGTTTGTGGGTCGATATTAATTAATGTAAACACTGGTACGGCGCGTGGGAGGGCTCGCAGGGAGACGTCTGATTAGTCGAACAGCTTGTTTGACTGATTTAGCTTCGGATCGTCGTCGGGGAATCACAAGTTGACGGAAAGTATACAGAGAACTGAGACAGGTGGAACTAGTCCAGCACTCTCGGATGCAGATATCAAACCTCGCGCCTGTAAATCTGCCAGAGACCGGTGTGAAACGGTGGGTGGTTGGATTAGGAGGTAGAGGTTGAGGACTGGTCGACCACCTAGTCGGAAGCACACCATGAACTATTGCATTTGATATCCACTCCGATGAATGGAAACGGTGAACCCATATCCATGGTTGGCGCCATCTCTGGCCACGATGTACGCGAATGTAGGTATAATGCCCTTCCATGCTTCCGCCAAGTATGATAACCAAGTATTTACGGCTTCTCCTGCGAATTTCTGTAATTTACGGAGACACTGCACCACCGACCGTCCGCAACTATGCGTCACCTGTTATTTTTAATGTCCGGATCTTACCACTTTTTCACACTGTTTCTATTAAAACTCAGATTCAAACTTCCCTCTATTCAGTGCACAAGAATATCGATTAAAATTAATTTTACATCAATATTAAATCTTGTCTGCTCGGTGGAGGTTTTAGTTTTCTAAGAAAAATCAGGTCTGTAGCTTTACTTGACTATTTATAAAGCAATTATAGCGAAGATTGTACTCGATTTCGTACCCCTTTGCACTATTTATCGACAATAATTATCTAGGGTAGTAGAACGGGGTAAGGGATGATTCTACATGTAGAAACAAGTAAAAAAGAAAGAATAACATTTTTTCATTAGAGGCCTTGTTTTCGAGAAAATCGTTATAATCGAGCAAGTAGAAAAATTGAATATTTGTCGGGAGGCGTTCGACATATTGTACTGAATTTCACTTGTTTCAGAAAAGATTTCAAATTATCTCGAAAATGAAGCCCCCTATGAAAAAATATTATCCTTTCTTTTCCATTTATTTTCACACGTAGAATCACTCCGTACAATAGAAAATCTAATGTATTTTACTTCGTATCCCCTTGCACCATTTATCGACCATCTCGTATCCCCATTACTGGCCAACGATATTTCCTGTACATAGAACAAATTTTTGTGCAAATATTCTACATTCCTACTTTTTTACTCATGCATTGCATTATTGATACAACACGATTTCACTCTGATAGCTCTAATAAACACATCCACTATACTATCAAAACAAAACAATAATTTTATTACTCACCATTCTACTTTTGCTCCTCAGAGGAATTTCCCCATTGTTTACAAACATAACTACCGTTTAATCCGTCCGATACTCCAAACATAATTTAACAAATAACTATAAAAGTTATAAGAACTTGCCACGGTGCGCGAGAAAATTTTTCCGGAATCAGTGAAACGATTACGAAAATTTACCCCCTGGCAAGAATTCGCCCGGAATTACCGGGAGCAACTCTTCTCGAACGGGTTTCGGTTAAATCGGCCTAACCGCGCGGAAAGAAAGGGAAAAGAAGAGTAAACATCCTCCTTCCTGGCTGCACTTTGGCGCGAGTCGACGAAGAAAGGGAAAAGGGCTCGCGAGGGCGGTGAGGAAATGGAAAGCCGAAAAGCCCGGGAGCGCGTTGGCACAAAAGCGCGGCTGTTGGTCCGCAGTAAATCAACCTGTTAAGAAAATGTGATCTGTTTGTAGAAAAAATGGCCGAAAGTAGCGAGAAACTATTCACACGGGGACCGCATTGAGGTTGTTTCGTCTGCCGACGTTGAATCGTTCGCGTCTGTACTTCCGGGCTCTCCTTTGTGACGGGAGATACGAGCATGCGATCACGTATTTTCCACGCTCATATGCACAGAGCCCGCCTCTGTATTGGTGCTAGCAATATTTTCATTCGCGGCGCGTACCGGTCTACCTTCAAAGGCGAAGGATAATGGAATTGCCATTTCGGTGGGCAAACATTTATCCCGAGGTATCTTTTAGGCTGTAATTTCTAGAGTGACACGACCCTTGTAACCTTTGCCTCTGGCGTTGTAAACCCACCCCCGCCCAAAAACGAACGTCCCTCTTTAAGATTTCGTTCACAATTTTTTTGTAAATTTCTTTGTTCAAAGCAGATTATTCTTTTTTTTCGATAACTTGGAGTCCACGGTTGTAGCTCTAGCTTTTGAGAGTACCCACAATCTTTTTTGTAGGAAAATATCGAAAATTATAGGAGTTACGACGAATCCAGTGTAGGACTTAAAAAGAGAAGCGAATTCGTGGCAGCCATTTTGAGCCTGAACGTATTATTAAATAACTTTCGCAATTTTTATTGTTTCACGGTGAAAAAATTTGTGTGCATTCTTGAAGGATGAATAAAAGATGGGACAGAATCACTCTTGGAAAAGATTTACGGTTTTCTTGGAAAAAATATGTGAAGATAGCTTGTTTTTGTTTTTAACGATACGACTAGTTTTTTAATGCGTAGGTTTATTTTTTCAATCGTGAACCTATATTTCCTATTTCGAAATAATTTGTATACTCTACGATTATCTAATTGCGCGCTCGATATAGATTTTACACTGTTTATACGCAAATTTATAAGTAAACATCGCATTTCGCTGGCGAGCGCAACCTTCTGTGTGATTTGGAATAAATTTGCTTTCGTGTTCATTTAATTACGTTAACAAATGCCTGTAATTGTATTAACAAACACTGTAAGTGGTACATGGCTATCAATATTATGTATAAAGTGCAAATCGATACGACATTATAGTATTCCGAGCAAACAATTTATCCGTAAATTCATTTAACGAACGTGAAATAAAAATTAATTAACCCTGGGAATAGATGTGAATTATAAAATACTCTTATATTAAAACGATTGTTCATATTAATTGCATGTTTTTATTCAGTTTTATCAAATTTCCAGTAACCTTGCTGCTTGTTAAAGTAAAGGGAGCTATCAGAAAACGTATAAATAATTTTTATAGAATGTTCGTTATCAGAAAATTTTCGTTAAGAAACGTCTAACAGAGACCTTTAAAATTGATACTTTGATATTTAGTTATTGCTCCCGACAGTTTATGAGCCGACCCAAATTGCCAGTTAGATTGGCAGTTCGATAGTTGAGCGAAGATCGAATGAAAATATTTTACTAAAATACAGAATGCCACGGAACTGATTGACGTACGGAATGTTTACGCGGATATATTTATTTCCTCTCGCAAGTTCCGTTAACTAGTTAAGTTCATATCCAGGGTTCTGAAATACCTCGAATAACTCAACCGTTCGAAGTTTCGAATCAGTACGGTGTATTTTACTTTGAATTACATTTGGACGTTTAGGGAGACTGTTCCGCGATTCGTTAATTACGTCCCTGCTTCCTTGAAGCAATTTTGTACGAGGAGTAGACGTTAACGCGAGGAACAGTTACGTTCCAGACACGCATAAGACGGGACTCTGATACTATGTCGAGCTTTACACTTGGAACAATTGAAACGTTAAACATATACGATCCAGAAGTTTAATTCAACATTAAATAATTCATGTAGACACGTATAAAAGTATAGGATACAATCGAAAAATCGTATTTAAATTATAATAAATAATAGTTTGACACCAAGAGCTGTGTTTTATTTAGTTTTAAAAATATTACGATTCAAACTTGATATTAACGACTTCTTATTCATAAATTACATATTGCATCGAATGGTTGAGTATAAAAGATCGTTCCTTAAAATAAAATCTTCGTCCATTTTCCTAATGCTTTCGATTTCAGAATTTCAACCCTTTTAATTCTATAACGAAATGTTTTATTTTGATTTAAAAAAAAATGAACACATGCAATACTTGCGGTCATGGAGCGACTGCTAGTGTTTAGATTGTAAATCGCGAACAACCGTGATGTATCTTGGATGTTTTATATGACAACGGAAACGTGTAATATGTTGCAGGTAGCGTGGCTGCAAGTAGACACCCAAACAATACTGACAATAGCCAACCACGTTATTACGAAAAACCATCGGATAGCCGTCTCCCACAGCGATCATCGAACATGGTTTCTCCACATACGAGAAGTAAGAGAATCGGACAGGGGAAGGTACATGTGTCAGATTAATACGGACCCAATGAAAAGTCAAACTGGTTATCTGGAAGTTGTCGGTGAGTATCACGTGATTTTTGACATTTCGGGCGTAAAATCTCCACTAGTTTCAGCCTTCAACAATTGGAACGAAATATATACAGGGTGGGGCAATAACTATGTCCACCTTGAATATCTCCGTTATTTGTAATAATATTCAAAAAATTTATATACAAAACTTGCACGGTACAGAGGGGGACACATTGTGATATACACATTTTTCGTGTGGGTGGAGGCATAGAGGAGATTTCAAGATCACCTTCATTTTTTTAAATGGGATCACCCTTTTTGAAACACCTACAATGATAGTCCCTTTCATTAGGAATTCAGTGACTATAATTATACAAGGTCATTCAAGGTCACGGCCGGTGAAAATGTATAAGATTTAAAATATGAAAGCAGAATACATTTATCGTAAATGAGACTTGTAGTAAACATACTAAGGTCCTTCAATGTCGAATTAATTTTTGTCAATGGGGATTACATCAAAATCGTTCATTTTTTTCTAATGTCTTGTTTACGGATGAAACAACATTTAGTAATCATGGCTCAATTAATCTACGGAACGCCCATTATTGGTCTGTTGGTAATCCGCACTGGCTTCGAGACGTTGATTACTAAATACAATGGAGCGTAAACGTGTGGTGTGGTGTTTTGAACGATAAAGCAATTGGACCATACTTCATTACCGGAACGATGACAGGGCAAAAATATTCTCAATTTTTGCAAGAAGATCTGCCAATTTTGTTGGGAGATGTCTCTCTACAAAACCGTTATGATATGTGGTACCAACATGATGGCTGCCCGGCCCATTATGCAAAAGAAACATTGGATTCTAGGTTTCCAAACCGATCGATGGATTGGACGAGGTGGTACTGTTTCATGGCCAACATGTTCGCCTCACTTAAATCCACTGGATTTCTTTTTATGGAGTATGCTAAAAGAGACCGCATACGCGAATGCCCCAACAACAGTTGAAGATATGCATCAGCGGATCACCACAGCATGTACGAATATCACCTCGGATGTACTTGTCAGAGTTCAACATTCCTTCAGAGCCCGTTTACAGCAATATATCGACGTAAATGACCATCGTTTGGAATATTTATGAAACACAGGTATTTTGCTTTCATATTTTAAATCTTATACATTTTCACCGGCCGTGACCTTGAAAGACCTTGTATAATTATAGTCACTGAATTCCTAATGAAAGGGACTATCATTGTAGGTGTTTCAAAAAGGGTGATCCCATTTAAAAAAATGAAGGTGATCTTGAAATCTCCTCTATGTCTCCACCCACACGAAAAATGTGTATATCACAATGTGTCCCCCTCTGTACCGTGCAAGTTTTGTATATAAATTTTTTGAATATTATTACAAATAACGGAGATATTCAAGGTGGACATAGTTATTGCCCCACCCTGTATATCGTAGACGATCGAATGCAAAAATAATTATTTCAGATCGAACGTAAAACGAGCAATACCGGCTCAAAGTGTGTATAAATAAAACTGGGGCAGTAAATATTTAAAAACCGATTTATATTTGAACATACTATTTTATATTGCGAAAATATTAAATATTAACCATCGTGAGATAAGAGACTCGTAGTCTAATAATTTCATTTGACAGAGCACTGGTTTCAAAAGCATCGACTTAACGTTATTTTTATAATAAAGATTTGATAGAGAATTTCATTTTTTGAAATTTCCAAAATTTAGGTAACGATTACGAACGAATTAAATGTAAATGGAATTTCGTTAAATTATCGAGGGTGGAAATGAAAAATTAATCGCGACACGGTGTCGATGTAAAAAGCGTCCAAGTAATTCTTTACGTGTTTAATTATGATTGAAAATGGCTGAATTAACGATGACTTGTTCGCCCTGGGCGATAATATCGCATCAATCCTTGAATCGAAAGGGGAGAATGTCAGGTACTTATCGGTAGCATCCAGGATAGCTATTGTTACACCGATTATGTCATGTCAACGTTGGATACGCGGATGTAATACGCAGTATTTTAATCAACCCTGACAAGCTATGAGAATCTGATTCTGCTTCGACCATATTCCCTTCTTGTTCCAATGATTTGCTACTACGCATAGTTCGCACGTAAACCCCAAGATTCGCTAATGCATACAATTAATAATAAAATTGAATGACTTTTCGATTACAATACAAAAACTATATTCGTGAAAAAATTTATTTATTTTATAATCAATTAGCCATTGCAGGGGAATCGCGTCTTTACAAAAACTCGATTTTAGTATTTTGCAAAATCTGTATGTTTTTTTTTGCGAACGCAAAATGATTATATTCGATCCACCAAATAGAGTAATATGAAACGAACATCGCCTTAATAACTCCTGATAATAATCGAGCATCTCTGTCGAAGATCAAGTTTCCAGTAGTTAAACGAACGTAAAGCCGGGCAAAAGACTTTTCGCTTCTACTTAATTTGCAAGGCATTAACCTTATTATTATGGAGCAATATGGTCGCGAGCTTGCGAGAACGGCGCGCGGTGAGTTGCACGCGAGCAACCTTTACAGCCCTTCTCGGAAATAAAATCCCTTATACGTTCTTTCACAAATGCACGCTCCCCCACCCCTTTCGTTCTTTTTGTTCTTTTTTAGTTCGCGTACCTATAAAAGGCGTACCGAAATTTTATGTCGAATTACAGCCCAAATTCCGTATCTTTGGATCGGTGGAGATCGGTTTTAAAAATTGAAGGTGAAATTTTTATTATATTTTATTGTTAAAAGTTTTAAAGAACGATCCGTTATATCTCCAGTAATTTTTTAACTCGCTGCCCACGGTTTCTTTGAAACTTTTCACCCTTTCCATTGCGATACAACAATAACAATATTTGACTTTGACAAAAGCTGGCGAAAGAAAATGTTCTACGTAATTTTTTGAATAACTCTCCACCGATTCAGAGATACTTGAAAAAGGAGATTAAATTAATCTCGAGGTTAAGAAAGGATCACGAATGAAATGAAAGTTGCGTATCATTTTGTACAATAATAAACTGCTCGAATACGAATTTTCATGGTCAAACAACGTATTATTCGTGAAAGTATAAATATTAAAAGGAAAATCGCGCATAGCAGTACCGAGAGGGAAGCTCTCTGGAAAAGTATCGTATTAATATTATTTCGTGATGTACATTTTCATATGGTAACCGCGAAGCGTAGACGTAAGTAATTTAGCTAAAACGGTAAACCGACGCAGTCATAACATTTCATCGAGGAATGAAATGGCCTGAATTCAATACTTTGAAGAGGCCTGCGAGAGATTACTGACAGAGATTAGATTCGTCTGTAAATTCGTGGATTATACCGAACACACAGTGACATGTGTGTGTTCGTAAGCAGAACTTCGATGGGATCCAATAATTGGACCATGAAAACATTTTCCGTCGAGTCATCAAATTATCGACGATGCCTGGGACGCACTTTAATTAAATGCGATTAAGTTAAATCTGGCAACGTAAACGTTCGCCGCTTAAAGTCCACTATGATGTCATGGGGATTTATGGGGGGATTCGAATAATTCATAATCGACGCGTTGCTGGTATTAACACCATGCTCCCGTTAAATCGACGGGTGAAACAGCGAACCATTCCCTTTCCTCGTTTCTTTAAACGAAAAGATTTTTTTACAGGGAAACTATAACACCTTCCGCAGCCAAATTTACAGGATTTATTTACGCACGTTTGAGTAATACTCCAAAATTTTTTGGACCAAAACAAGTTAAAATTGGCAACATTAGATCCTCTCAAACATAGTCAAACATAGTTGTTTTTAAAAAAAGGTCGTTCCACGGTGTCCCAATTTTTTGCAAACAAACTACAGCACCTTTTGCAGTCCAATCGACAAAGGTTTGTTCACACTTGTTTGAATAACATTTGAAAATTATTGGTGAATTTTAATGAAAAGTAATAAAAAGTTCGCGAAGACATCGTAACTTGAGAGAACAATTGGCAGAGTAATACACATCGCGCGGTATAACCGCGTTCGTAGAAAGAATCCAGAATGTTTCATAGTCCCTTCCTTAAGTGCATTCATCCTCCGGTGCCCCTTTAGTGGAGGACAGTACTTCCGGGTCAGGTCGGTTTCCACATCGACAAATAAGAATCGTTGGGGACGTTTATTGTATACTTTACGAACTTCCGGCATTCGTACCGAAATCAAATTGGTATTCTCGAGATACGGGAAACTCTTGCATCCCATCTGCAGCCATATAAACCAGCGTGTTTCGTCCACGTAAACGCGCCCTCCGCCTTCCTCCGGCCACGCCGTCGCCTTTCTTCCATCCGGACACAACCGTCTTTGAGGCACGAAAACGTCCACCTGGTGGATACATCCGAATGGCCACTTGCGAAACTTCATCTTCCTCGTGAGATCATTTCGGATCCTCACCGTGTCGTCCACTCGCGAAAAATTCTCCGGATCGATGGCGGGGGTGTAAACTAGGGGCATTCGATTCTTGCAAGAACATCCCAAGAATCGTCAATGAAACGATAGTAATTAGTACTTTCAAAAAACGTTTCAGAAAAAGTAGTATAGTATTTTTATTATTTGTTCTAATTTTTAATAATAATTCTTATTATTAAAATTGTATCTATCGAACAAATTCAGTGGTTTTTAATGTATTAGAAATTTAGTTTATTAATTAATTATCCGGGATAGCGCGTACGAAGTCCCGACTAGCAAAAATTATACGCCCGAGATATCCACATTAGGGATATTCGCAGAGGTCAGCTCGACCCAAGTGCAATGGAGGAGCCTCACCCTGGAGGAACCACCTTTTTGATCATGGTAGCCTCTACGCCAGGTAAGTATACTCCCTGCCGCCTTTCATGATACTTCTTATAACTGCACGGTGTTTCAAATGCGAGAAAGAAAATTGGTTGGCGCGCTGTATAGTGACCAGTTTGGGAACTAATCAGACTGCCCCTGTGTGACCTCAACCCTCCGCGTAGGTTTGCTCCATTGTGGTACAAACGAGTCGTCAG